GTACCTTGTATAGTTGTGACAAAATAAAGTTTACCTATGTATTTAGGTAAAATCGGGTACCAGCTAGGGATGGGCCATAACGACCGATCATTAATTCAGTATGACAGCTAGAAACTAGTAGAAATTGACTTCAATGGAGGTGAATAGTTTGGAAGAGTATTTAGTCAATCAATCCAGTAATCTCAGTACAAAACGTGCACAAGACGGGACCTGACATACTTGTGACGTCCACAGGAATGCAGGACTTCAACTACCTGCACACCAACTCCTACGAGCTGACTCTGGAGCTGGGCTGTGACAAATATCCACCTGAGTCCGAGCTCCCCATGGAGTGGAACTACAACAAGGAGGCCCTCCTCGCATACATGGAACAGGTGAGTGGCAGCGGTAGACTCAAGAAGCTTTCGTGCAACATTTGAGTCGAAAAGCACCGCCAATACATGGTATTGTGGTGCCCTGTGCCCCAAACCAGATGTTTAAAACATATATTTAAAAACTAGCAAACTTATCCAAACGGCATACCAGTGTACTTTTGTACAAGTTATGAAACGTATAATATTTCCCTGCATTTCCTTTGCCTAGGTCCACATCGGAATCAAGGGTGTGGTCAGAGACACTAACGGAAATGGCGTTCCTGACGCCAAGATCAAGGTGCAGGGTAACATCCATGGCGTCAATTCCGGTGAGTACACTGTCATTCTGTTACTACGACTCAGTTTTTTTTCTTTTTGTAGCACTTCTAAAAGTTTGTAGATGGTCCTCTAGTACGTAAGAACAACGCTACTGCCCTACTTTTCTTCAACAAGGTCTTGCGGCGCTGGGAGATCTTCAGTGCATGCAAACGTCTTTTTCCATGGAAACACTTTAGGAAACAATAACTAGAACACAGAAATACTCCTAGTCCGCGGTATCTTGTCTCCCCCGCAGCTGCCGATGGTGACTACTGGCGCCTGCTGCTGCCGGGTACCTACAGCGTCACCGTCACCAAGGGCCAGGCCACGCAGACCAAGTCCTGCACCGTGACCAGCGGCGCCGCCACCACCTGTGACTTCACGCTGGATGCCGCCGCTATCAACGTGTCCGCTGATACAGCTGGAACCGATACGGGACCCGGCAACAACGGGGGCAACAACAACAACAACCACCACCCCTTCAACAACCACCATCCCTTTTTCAACCAGAACTGGTAAACTGGTATTTGAGTAGGGCGACTCGACATAGCAATCTGAATTTGTTTTGTCAGTCAATAAACAAGGAATCGAAAATTTCACAAATGTGGCGTATGTGTGTGTATATGTCTGTCTTTCAAAAAAAAGTGGGGGGGGGGTGGCTACGGGAACGTTTTACCTGCGCATAAAGCCAAGCCTGCGGAAGGACTTAGCTGCCGCCTGGCGGAACTTATTGCTACAGCAGGCGTAGATGACGGGGTTCATCATGCAGGACGACTTGGCGAACAAGCTGGGCAGGATGGTGGCGATGATGGGCAGATCTTCCTCAGACAGGATGTCCCAGGTACAGGACACGGCATACGGGGTCCAGGCGATCAGGAAGGACACCACCATGGTCAGGCACATCTGTGGGGTTCAGAAAAGGTTTTGGTTGTCAATCGGCCTCCCGATTTATTCATACGTTTATCTTTGCTAATACTCGACCGGATTGCTTTGAGGCTACCCAGCTTAACCCGACGAAAACATGAAAAACGGACCTATGAAAAACCACCATGTAGATGCTGACACTGACGATGACGTCGTGTGTTCTTAAAAGATAAGTAACTAGCCTCTACCAGGTTTCTTGAAAGAGTAGAAATTGGCCAAATACTCAGTAGACAGATGATAGCGATAAGATAAGAGAACAATTTGCGTCTCCCGAAACTGAGAAACTGTTCTCTTCGCGTGGACCAACTCCGTGATATATCATCAGTCTATTTGGCCAATTTCTACCCTTTCCAGCCGCTTCCCGGAGCCTGGTGGTAGAGGCTAATAAGTAACGTCGTGTGTAGCGGAGATGACATTACCAGTGAGGTCTTCGAGGTGTCTTTCTTTGCAGCCTTTTTAGTTTCTTCATTGGCCAGAGCCGCGAACTTCAAGTTGGCCGACTTGACGATGATGTTGAAGTAGCAGAAGCACATGATCAGGACCTGCAGGATATAGAGGATAACAAGAACCGCCACGACGTAGGCCGTCTCTGTGGGGTGCTGCACGTTCCAGTCCAAGGAGCAGATGATCCCTACAAATAACAGAAATATCGTTAAGCCAACCTGCCTTGCTCCAATAGACCGACCCTGTCTGAACATCAAAATTTCCAGATTAAACAAAAGCCAATTAGCGATTTGACCTACAGAGGGCCGCCGCATATTTGCATTTTTATGTTTTTATTTCGCATTTCAACGAGGCTTTGGGATTGAACATCGGCCATTCCACATGTATATGTTTGGTTTTCTTGGAAGACTGGAGGAAATACATGTGTACAGTGTATGTGTTTGTCTCTAACTTCCTGGTGTAACATTAACCTACAGCAGAACGAAGGCGCTCACTTGTGCTCTTGGAGGGTGCAGGAGATAGCGAAGGAGAGGAAAGGGATTCAAAGGGAAACATATTGGCAGGCTTAGAAAAACGATCACTCTGTGCGGAGTTACCTATGATAGCAAACTAAGATGTTCCTGCCAGTTTTGAAACAAAACGTTTCAGATTTTCACAAATTTGCACCACAAGTATTGTCGACTCACACACCCATTGGATCGTAAGTGTAGCGGTTAAGTCCGACTAGCGGAGGGACCGTGAACACCAGAGAGAACAGCCAGATCCCGATGATGACGTAGTTGGTCCTGCGATGGGTCAGCAGATGCGCTGGGGACGAAAAGAAAAAGAACCTTGCTATGAAAGTTGAACCGTAAGAAGCGTTTGAAATTAGGACAGTTTGACAAATTGCGACCAAACATTTGACAGATCGCTTAGAAAATTTCATAGACAAAGAACGAAGATCAGTGATCGGCATTTCGTGGAAATCGCTATTTAGTGGAAAGGAGACCTTAAAACCACTTCCCATTGCAGAGCTTGTCATTTTTAATATACTTAAAATTGTGTCATTTCAGATTCAAAGTTTCTCCTTTGGCATAGATTTGGTTTAGCCTCTTTCACAGACTTTTAAGGGGGGCGGCGTTATTTTTTTCGGGGAGCGACGCGAGTTATGCCGCGGAGGGACGGCTTCTTAGGCGGCGAAACCATCTCTCCCCGGCAAAGTCCCTTGGCCGCTGCCTAGGGCTCAGAAGTCTGCGAAGGAGACTAGGTTGTGCCCTTACCATACTGTGGTTTACAGATGACGATGTAGCGGTAGACGCTGATGGCACACAGGGTGACCATGCTGACCAGGGAAAAAGTGAAGCAGAGGAACCCATAGATCGTACAGCCAACATCTCCGAGCACCCATCCTCCTGCGAACCCTGTAGAGGAAACAAAAGTCTGTGCAAAACGAAAGTGCCACTGCTCTTCCTTCCAAGGACGGTGAGGGCTGTTTTCTGCAGCTTCGAGCATGGCCCCGTGGACTCCCTGTGAGTTTTGGAATGTCGGGATTTGAGAAAAACGATGAAAATTTCATGACTGAAAAAACTGACCTGCTGTAGCAGACAAGGGATATGCGAAGACGCAGACGCTGAAGTCAGCTATGGCCAGATTCAGGACAAAACTGTTCTGCTGTTTCTTACGGAAGTCCTTTTCCGTCAGGAACACCGTGATGGCGACGGCGTTCCCGGGTAAGGCTATCAACCCTGGAAGAAAAGCACGTCTAGTGAATACTGCACTGTCTGGTGACTTGTTTACCGGAATCGGCGGCTACATTTGAAACATGAAATCGGCGATTTCAGACTTCCGAGAAGTATACAATCCTCCTAAGCTTCCTAAATTCAGGAGATCTCCCATATTGACGACCACTACCAGAAGATTACATTACTAGAAAAAGAGCAAAGAGGCACAATTATTTCGACGCAGTTGAACTGATGAGGACCGCATGACAATGTAATTAAATGGCAGGGCCACCTGCGATGGAAAACCAGGTAGATTTCTTTGAGCTGTCGAGGGAAAGGCAACTACTAGTATATATATCAACATTGTGCAGTTTTGAAGATTAGTGCGCGATCGATCCAGCCAAAATTCCATACCTCAGCTGTTAAAAACAACCATAACCTAACTCCCTTCAGTATTCGCACATTCACACTAATTTTTGTTAACAATGTGCCTGAAATTCAGACTACATGTATAATCTAGGCCTGACGACGCTCCTCTCTGTCTGTGTTCTATGATATAGCATTGATTACTTCCAAGAGCATGATCCAGAAAGAAGAATTACGTCCCGAAATTGAAACGCAAACCGAATAGATGACAGTCTTTGTGTCAACCGCCGCTATTGTCATGTACCTGTGAGGGTAAGGTAGATTGCACTGGCGAGGTAGCCTTCATAGCCCACGGGGTCTGCCGACTGGTGATGGCGCCATCCCGTGTCGGTCGGTCCGTCCGTCCAGGGCCACTCGCTGGAGTTCTCCGGGTTGTCCGTGAAGAACTCCCCGCCGGGCAGCCAGGAGCTGGGAGAGGTGTCCATGACTGGTGCGGCTGGGAGTTGGATGTACGGGATAAACCTGTACCTGTATAGTCGGTTGGTTGCAGGCACCCGGCGCGGGGACTCGCGAGCCAATAATCTGTGGCCGTTAGACTGACGTCAGCATAGGCAATAGTTGAAAATTGCCAGCACACCTAAATCACTTATAGAAGATAATTTCGTACCATGGAGGCTTTTAGAGTGCCTACTCACTGCCTACAGTCGTGGCTTCCTCAACTACCTCATTACACTGCAATAAGGTAGATTGTATTCTAATGAGGTAGTTGAGGAGACCGTTAGCTGTACTTTATTCAAGGAAGGATGTTCCTGACGTGACCAAATCATGATCAAGTGTGCTACAAAATTCAATAGATATCCGCTCCATTGATATCACACTGACGTTTTATCGCTCTCATACACTATAACGAAGCCTACTATTCATCGATATAGGTTAAGGATATGACCTAATTAGGATGCATTGTGCATTGACGAGCATAGCTCTCCCAATTAACGCGGCAGTCTTTCTGTCCACGTGAGATAGAAGTGGCCCATATGGGGTGCAGCAAGCCGGGCTCTCCAACTGGCTCCCATAAGACAACAGATGTTCATATAGCAGGAAAAACAGATAACCTTTTTCTGGAACCTTTGACCCTACTTCCTGTGAGTGTCCCAAACTATGTGGAAATAAGTACAGAAACAGAAGCAAACACACAAACAGACACACGTAAAACAGAACATATGTACAAAGAGTACAAGTGACTGATGTTTATTGCAATATTGGCTACTATAGTCAAGTACAATTTTAATCTCTCTCATTTCACATGTGTAGTACGTGATTGAAGTGGTGTTCCAATGGGGTGTACAAAAAGTGCGAAAAGCTAAAGAAGCGAAAAAGAGCGAAAATTTTGAGACACTGAATTATTCTGAAAGGATTAGTTACCGTCACAGAATATGTCACAAAACTAGAAATCACACGCGAATAATCAAAATACAGAGTCCAGCGTTGGTCGAAAGTGCGACTATATACATCATTAACGATACAGGATCATACTTCAACACATAAAAACGACGTCTGTTTCATTCAAGCAGGACCTACATGTATGTTTAATTTACACATGGCGACATAACCAAAGTTTCCATTCCAGTTCATTGACATAAATGTTTATACATAGAAATCCATAAAGATGACAAATACGCTTGTGTATATGTGTGTGACACTAAAGAACCAATCCACGACAGACTGGATGGATACCAGGCTACCAGACTACATTCACCAAGTGCAACCAGTCAACATACATACAATCTGAAGTATATCGATATCGTGCTAGTGGCTTCGTTGAAGTGAATGATATCGTACTTAAACTACAACAGTTACTGCCCTGTTCACTGTCAGCAGCACAGCTGTATGTTATTTTCTGTGCAAGCGTGTGCAAGAGCGCTTGTGTATATGTGTGTACGTGTATACGTATGTGCATGCGCAAGTGTAGATGTGCCACGTGTGTGAGTGTGTGTGTTTGTGAGTGAGTGTGTGTGTGTGTGTGTTTGTGTGTGTGTGTGTGAATGTGTGTGAGTGAGTGTGTGAGTGTGTGAGTGTGTGAGTGAGTGAGTGAGTGAGTGAGTGAGTGAGTGAGTGAGTGAGTGAGTGAGTGAGCGAGTGGATGAATTTTATGTATGTACTGACCAAAGACGTTGGGTATCTTACAAAGAAGTACACTTAGCGCTACTAGAAGGGAGAGCGCTCATGGGAATGGCCTGACCAGCAGGTTCGGCTGTGAACTCCAGAACTGTGTTCCGCAGTTCTGCTGGAGACGGGGGAACGCTCTGCTTACGCATACAGCCGAGCCTGCGGAAGGACTTTGCAGCCGCCTGGCGGAACTTATTGCTACAGCAAGAGTAGATGATTGGGTTCATCATGCAGGACGACTTGGCGAACATGCTGGGCAGGATGGTGGCGATAATGGGCAGATCTTCCTCAGACAGGATGTCCCAGGTAGAGGACACGGCATACGGGGTCCAGGCGATCAGGAAGGACACCACCATGGTCAGGCACATCTGTGGAATTTAGAAAGGCCACAGGTTTTAGTTGCCAATCAAAAAGACCTACCAAGAATTACTATGCATGTGGAATTCATGAATTTTTCAAACGTTTTAAGGTTCTATAGTAACATGTATTACAATTCCGTTTTCCTAAGGCAAAATGTTATAAAGGATGTGGGCCCAAATATGTGATGGACACACTCTTTTAGGCATTCGCAAGTTTTTAGTATTTCTGGAAAGGGGATCAGGAAACAATAATAGGAAACAGTGACGGAGTGAAAGAGTGAAATACAAACGAGGTGGCCTTACCATTGATGTCTTCCAGGTGTCTTTCTTTGCGGCCTTCTTGGTTCTCTCATTGGCCAGAGCCGCAAACTTGAGGTTGGCCGACTTGACGATGATGTTGAAGTAGCAGAAACACATGATCAGGACCTGCAGGACGAAGACGATGACGAGAACCGCTGCGAGGTAGGCCGTCTCCCCGGGGTACTGCACGTTCCAGTCCAAGGAGCAGGTGATGTCTGCAAACAGCAGAAATGTGGTTACGCATTTCAACGTTTTGATTAAGGTGGGCGGGGCTTTGAGATTATTAGAATGTAAAAATAACCGCTCGTCTGAGGTTTCTGGACACAGGTTTTCCACAACTCAGGAAAACAACGGTCATTTGATTTTATATGTTTGGTTTTGTTGAAAGAAAAAGGAAATATGGGGTACTTGAAGGACATGTGTTTGTCTTTACTTTCCTGGTGCGACATAGACCTACAAATGAAGGAAGATGCATGTTTGTGGCTGTTGGAATGTGCGAAAGATAACGAAGAATCAAGAAAGGAGGAAGAACCAGGAAACACTGACAGACGTAGAAAAGCACAAACACTCTATGACTACGACTACCAATTTAAGTTGTGCCTGTCGGATTAAGAACAAAAACATCTTTCTGTCACACATTTCAACAATGAGTGTTTTAGACCAACTCACGCATTGGTTCGTAAGTGTAGCGGTTGACGCCGACTAGCGGAGGGACCGTGAACACCAGCGCGTACAGCCAGATCCCGATGATCACAAAGTTGGTCCTGCGATGGGTCAGCAGATGGGCTGGGGACGAAAAGAAAAATGACCTGTCTATAAAAGTTGAACCCTAAGCAGGACGGACTAATCAAATTAAAACAAGTTACGACAAAATTTTCTCAGATTTTCAAAAATGAATATTTCAATATTTAACATACATTGCTTTGTTCTAAAGCATATTTTCATATCGTGCATCATATTTCAATAACAAATCTCATTTTGGGTCGCTTCAGTGGTCGCTTAGCACTCACCGTCTAGAAGAAAGGACGACCTGAATCACTGTGCTGAATTACAGCCCTTTCATTTCGTACTTTTAATTGTACTATTTCGGATCAACAGGTGCTTTATCTTGTCCCCGGTTTGGTTGTAGCCTTACCATACTGTGGTTTACAGATGACGATGTAGCGGTAGACGCTGATGGCACACAGGGTGACCATGCTGGTCAGGGAAAAAAGTGAAGCAGAGGAACCCATAGATCGTACAGCCAACATCTCCGAGCACCCATCCTCCTGCGAACCCTGTAGAGGAAAGAAATTCCTGTGAACACGTGTATAACGGTACGGTGCAGACTCATGTATTCCCTTAAAATGCCTTTAAGATCCGGACTACAAAACCAAAAGACAATGCAAAACTTTGATTATCAGACTCAAAACTGACCTGCTATGGTAGACGAGGGATATGCGAAGACGCAGACGCTGAAGTCAGCTATGGCCAGATTCAGGACAAAACTGTTCTGCTGTTTCTTACGGAACTCCTTTTCCGTCAGGAACACGGTGATGGCGATGACGTTCCCGGGTAAGGCTATCAACCCTGGAAGACAAAGTCACGTCCTGGAGGTTACATTTGGGTGACGTCAAAGTAATATGATCATGACACCAATGCATTGAATTTAACTCTTCAGGCTCAAAAACACTGGAGTCTGGTTTACTAATGTCCTCGAGCCATCATTTACGAGTATCACGATTAGGGCGCTGTTACTAGTTGTCGGAATTCTGTCATTGTCCAATCTTACATCCCCCTTAGAGAAAACGGAACAAACAAACTTTGAGGATCTTTGGCGAAAAAAACAGTAACCTTCTACGACAAACATTATGCCTTACACGTCAAAGTTATGACGTGAAAGTTTCGAGTTCCACTAAACAATACCACTAGCAGACAAAAACAGCGCACGCATCTTTTTTGCTGCCATGTTGTTATTGTTACAGTTATCCGACACACGTCATGTAACCTGCATGTGTTACGTAGATTATGCAAGCGCCAATGCCGAGAGTTCGGGTCGAAATGTTACATGTCTGCTAACATCTATCTTCACGTTCTAGAGCTTGCCTTAGTCTGAAGAATGTCTCAAGTATGAATACAGGTCAATACGGCATATACAGACAGACATGTAATATTGTTCACCTTAGAGTTTTTATGTTTTAGGTGTAAACAAGCATGATTTTAGCCTCGTGAGGTTTTAAGATGTGATGTAGATTTGCATTTAACGTGCTAGAAAGTAGGGAAGTTCATTCAATAATATACGGTTGGGTCCAGAAAAGTGAAGCAGGATTGTTCAGGTAAATTGTTCAAATCGTGAATAGAGACTACCAGGTCCTGAAGATTGCAGGGGAGGTTAGTTGTAAGCAGGGCATTAGCCTGAGTCTGACTACATGTATATCATGTTTTTAGTAGGCTCTCCCGCTGTTCAGTCCCTGGCAGCGAGCTCTTGTAACACACGTTAGGTAGGCGGGGCAGTATAGCAAAAAATGGACAACGCTTTCGTATATCGACCAGCAGGTGCTTCGACTATTCAGAAAACATGTATTTCTTCAATACAAACATTGCTTCAAGAAGAGGCCCTTAACCAACTCGACGCAATTAAGCTGAAGGACCGCCTGCGAACCCAATTAAACTGAAGAATC